ATGGAGAAAGCCAGAGAAAGTGGGAAATGGAGAGAGCCAGAGAAAATGAGAAAGCAACCCTCAGGGCAATGGTCATGCTGCAGCTTCTGGTGGTTCTAGGAGTTCCTTGGCTGTGGTCGCGTCATTGCAGTCTCTGCTTCTGTCTTCATGTAGCCTTCTCCTCCTCTCTTCTGTGTCTTGTTTCCTCTCCTTCTTAACAAAGTACACATGCCATTGGATTTAGGACCGTCTGATGATTCCCAGTCATCTGGAGATCTTTAATTGAGTTACATGTGTGAAGGACTTTGTTAATAGAAGGTCATATTCATAGGCACCAGGGGTTGGGATCTGCACATTCCTTTTTGGGGCCACTTTTCAGTCCATTGCACAGAGCTTCTCAGATAACCTCGTGCAGCAGTGACCCCGGGGACCCTGCCCCCCACAATTTGGTGAGGTCTGTAGAAGCCTGAGTCCACTTCTCCTTGACTATAAGGGACTAGCTCCTTCTTCCTCCCCTCTGCACTCAGAGGCCAGCTCTTCACCCCTTTCCTGTTGGTTCCCCTCCCCACCATCCCATCTGTGGTTCCTGGCTTGCTGGTGTCATCCCTGGGAGAGATGGGGCTGGCAGGAGATCACCCCGCCTTCTCTGGAGGTATTGCCCACACCTATCCTCTCCCTGACACCAGTCCTTGATGGGCCTCAGCTAACCCACGTGGGATCAGTTTTGTCTCTGCTCCCCTTCTCAGAGAGGAGTAAAGTTTCTTGGAATCCTCACACCTTCTCCGTTCCTTGGGTCCACTGGGGATCTTTGTAGGCACCTAAAGAACCACTGCTTCTTTGAGGTCTCATCTCATACTTCCCCATACATATTAAAATGCTCCCATGTTTCACATTACATAGTTTTTCCACCCATAACATAATCAGAACGATCTTCATAATTTTGCTTTGGAGATTATTCAGCTGTAAGCTTAGTGAATTTATAATTGGCTATGATTTCTTGGCCATCATTGTGCATACTTAGGGATTTTATTGAAGTGAAAAAAACTAAGCTTCAGATTGTTTTTTGCATGTAATTAAATTTTTATGAATACCAAAGTCAACAATTAATAAGGTATTATAGACATTTAGTTAAATACTTATTGATTTAGATTTTTGCAGGGTTTTTTTTTCTCTTTTGAGCCAATATCTATGATTATTACTATTTTGTCAGTTCTTAACCGTTTCTTAGGTACCTGGAAAGATTAGAGACATCAGATACTTACCCTCTAATTTTTTTCTGTTTAATTTGCTATAGGATGTGTGCACTTGCTGGAGAGAGAGAGACTGAGAGAGAAAGTGAGAAAGCACTCTCAGGGTGGATGACCACACCACAAACCCTTTTCCTCCATTCTCTTCCCTGGATTTTGGCCACACACGTGTCCAGCATGCTTTTTAAGACATCGGGTCTGGGACTCGAAATGCATAGTTGGCCATGTGGGACACAGCACCTTAACCACCATGCCACCAGCTGGCCCTCCTTCTCTAGCCTCTGACCGTTGAGTTGGTCCTGCTTTTTTCCTTTGTGAGACTCTTATTCCTGCTAGAAATTAGAAGTCCTCCTTCTCAGATGACAGGCTCTCAGACTGAGTATCCAATTTTGGATTTCAGGCTCTGGGATGGCTTAGGTTAGGAATTTTGGCTATAGCTGAGGGTCTCACCTGGGCTTTCCCATCATCTGGAACATTCTACCTTCAAACCTTTCTGTGAACTTGTTTTGGTAAGATGAACACCTCTGGCCTGATTTTCCCATTCTAACATTGTGAGCTTCGTTAGTCTGGTTCTGCCTCCCATCCCCAGGGACATGGTTGTCTTCAAGGGTTCAGGACCTTTATAGTCACACGACATCCTGTGCTCAGAAGGATCTGCACTTGGTTTAATGTTCTGTGGTCATTGTCTTGATTCTTAATGAATTTATATTTGAGCTTATGTTTTGCAAGCAAGGTCTGATGGGACAGTGGCTTCTGCGTGCTGGTGAAGGAGAGATGCACTTCATATTTTGGTAACTTTAATGACACTTGTTTGCCCCTCGCTCCCACTTTTATTTGCAAGAGGACATGTGTATGTTCCAGAGAGAGACAGACAGACAGAGTGAGGGAGAGGGAGAAAGCAGCCCCCAATGTGGTGTGATCACATCACAAGCCCTCCTTCCTCCCTCCTGTTGGGATCTGGGGCATGCATGCACGGGTATCCAGTGTGTTTTTCGAGCTGCTGGGGCTCAAGTTTGCACCACATGGTCGGCCATGTGGGATCCAGCTCTCTCTACCACTGGGCCACAGGACTTTACCCTTTGCTTTTGCTTTTTGAACAAAATGCCTCCCATTTTCTTTTGTGTTGTTATTAAAAACTTTGCCAGAGGGCCTGTGTGCTCACTAGAGAGAGACAGAGAGAAAGGGAGAAAACACCTCCTCCATGGGGCAAGGTCACACCACAATCCCTTCTCCTCCATTATCCATCCTGAGGATCTGGGGCACACAGGCACATGTGCCCAGCATGGTTTTTGAGCTGTTGGGGCCTGAGTTGAAACCACGTGGTTGGTAATGTGGGATCTGGCTCCATTAACCGCTGGGTCATGGGACTTACTCTTTGGTTTTTACTTTTTTGAACAAAGCACCTCCCATTTTATTTTTTAAAAATTGCCAGAGAGTGTGTGTGCTTCTTAGGAGAGATTTAGAGAGAGACAGAGAAAGAGAAAGTGAGAAAACACCCTCTATGAGGCATGGTCATGCCACAATCCCTTCTCCTCCATCTCTCCCTCCTTTTGGGACTTTGGGCACAC